CGAGGCAGGGTGGTGGGGAAGAGGCACTGGTGGTCGCTGTCCGGTGGGGATGAACCCCTGAGGGACAGGCAGGAGAGGCCGAGGGCCGCTGGCCCAGGGGGCACCTGCCTCCACTCTGTCTTGGCCCCAAATGACCACGTGCCCACTCAGGATCCAGTTGCTCCTCGGTAAAATGGGCTTGGATGACCCAGAGGCCAGTTCTAGGAACCGAGATAGAGGTGGGGAATTTCTGGGCCTGGGGCCTGGAGGACTTGACGTCTCTTGTGGCCTCAGTGCCAAGGCTGCCTTTGGGGAGGGGGGGGAGGGCCAGGGGTCGGGAGGGAGGCTGGGCCGGGGTGCAAGTCTGGCTTTCTGATTTGGCTGGGAGTGGGGCGTCTCCTGCCTGTGGGTCTGCAAGCACAGGTCCGGGGGTCCTTCCCACTTTTCAGCCTCACCCTTTTCTAGCCTCTTCTGCAGAGCCAGGATTTTGTTATCATTCGGCAGTGGCCTCAAATCCCTGTGATAAAACCTTGACAAGTTCCCTAAATCCTCCATTTGTAAAATGTGGTTAATGTGAGGGGACATGTAGTTAATGCCAAAGCACAACTAGGTTTGTGATTCATCCTAAGAGCTCCAGGAATGATAGCTGTTGGGCTATGATGAGTATTTGGGAGGGGGAGGTCAGGGGTACAGTTTTTTAGGGGGCATCTGATTAGGTGGGTGACCTTGAGTAAGTCATATCCCCTTTCTGATACTGATTATCTTCTATAAAATGGGCTTAGGGAACCATCCCTGCATCTCAGGGGTTCTGGTAGTTTCTATAGAACGGCATGAGGTCTTGTAAACCTAGTGTTTCCCTTGAGAGCGAGGACTGGCCAGCTTGCCTCTCGTTTCACCGCTGGGCTATGTGCACAGTCTCTGCAGGCGCCCTTCAGAGGGCTGACCTGCTCTTTCACTCCCATCGCTGGCTGCAGGCCTCCCCTGGGGGGTGTCCTACAGACACATGCCGCGGCCCTCTGCCCATGGTGCGTGTGAGTTGTGTGAGTGGTAAGTCTTGAGGACTCAGCCTTCATGTTTCCTGTTGCTCTGTCAGTAAGATTACACTTGTTCGACCATGAGGCATAAACCTAAATTGAGAATACAAGGCCACCTTGTGGACAGAACTGAGGCTCAGAACTGAGGATCAGAGAGGTTAGGTGAATTCCACATGACACACAGCAACCAACCATGAGATTGGACTGGACCCCCGGTCTCCTGGCATGTAGACAACCCTTCCAGCATAGCTTCTCTCATGGCTGGCGCCTTCCTGCCCTTTGAGGGGGTGGCTGGGTTACAGTAGAGATCATGGGATCTAGGGAGCCCACAGACCCAGCTGTGTCCTTGGCCGGCAGCCTCAGATCCCTTCTGTAAAATGGGCAGAGCAGACCCTGTCTTGAGGGCTGGGCAAGTGGGTGATGCACCTGTGCAGAAGGCCCACCGTGGGTGTCAGTGTGGGGCCTTCGGAGCCCTGGACCCCCCAGCTGGTTGAGCAGTGTCCTTGTTTATAAAGTCTCTGACTTGTTAGGTGAGGCTTCTCTCCTAGCACCCAGCATCTTGCAAACATCTTCTCCGACCTGTGAATGAATAAATGATGGGTAGCTTTCAGCATGGACTTAGGAAGCAGACTGACAAGTTTCCGCCCCCCCCCCACTTCCGCCGCCTCCCCTCCTCCTGGCCCTTGGCTTTAGTACCGTGGGCAGTCACCTGCGGGCATCTGGGGCAGTGCATGGGAAGGGCTAGGCCTGAGGGAACCTGCAGGAGGAGGCGTGTCTAGCCCAACTCTGGGAGAGCCAAGGAAGTCTT